GTCTATTTTTTTTTTTTTCGCATGTTGCCTATCTGTCATGTGAAGAAATATTCATTTTAAGATTAAAAATACTTTTATGCATCAGAATATTTTGAAATTTCACATGCAAAATCTTTAACGTCTAGATAGTTATCAAATGTTTCTTAGGAAAAAACTCTATACTTTATCTGTTATTTTCAGTAATTAATCTCTCTAAGGGTTTGGTAAAATTGAATGATCTCGCAACCACCATAAAAAATTAGGAATGAACACAAATTATAACACAAAAACATAAATGTTTAGACTAAATAGCTTAAATCTTATAACATTATACATTTATATATTTTTATTGTATTGACCATTCAGCCATGTCTGGCGAACAATACTGAAGTTACAATGACACGGCTGATGTGCTCTTATGTTACCGTATCCAATAAAAAAAAAAATTAACTTTAGTCTTTACAAAGTGACCTGTCTTGGCTGTGTTTTAGTAAACTAGTATATTGTAAAATATGGTCACTTTTCAATTATTATACATTATATACGTTATTACTATTTAGAAATAAGTTTATAAACTTATTTTTCTTAAACATAGTTCAGTAAATAGAGAAGTAAAGCAAACAATTATCTCTTCTAGTTATGACTTTTGTATTCGGTTGCTAAGCCTTTTAAAATTTTGCTCATGGAGGATACGAAACAAAATAAATTTTTTAAGGTTTTATATATACAGTTAAATAAACAAAAAATCATAAATTACTATATCAATACCAAAGAATTCCACTATAATCTATCAGGCTTAGTAAACAAGTTATATTTTCATCTAAAAATAATATGAAACTTCAAGCAGATTAAAGAAACAACCTATTTTCTTCAAATCTTGGTTCAAAAGAATGAGATGGTGTCATAACACTTTAAAATGGCTGGGAAAGCCACTAAGGGGACATTATGAGGTTTTGATTGATTATTCATGTCATATATTGAAGTAAGTGTATATGAGGAACCGTTTCCAAAATGGAAAGAGGTGAGCGGGGCCACTGTGTTTGATTCAGTACATGAGCAATATATCGGCAAATAGAAAACATACGAGGTTCTTATTTTATATTCCAGCTTGTCAATATTGGTAATTTGAGTTCCTAATTCATACCAGACTTAAAATTTTGACATCACAAACATCTAATTTGAACTAGTGCTGCATTCAACATACAATGTGACACACAAAAATTTAATAATGTATAATAATAAAATTTGAATTATAATCTACAGTTTGATACCAAACTTATTGACATAAATTCCTGAAATAGTAGTAAAATAAAATGCTGAATGCAAGTCAAGAAACGCAATGACATGGCCTTTGACCCATCTGGAAAGGGTTATCTAAAACAACCACCTTTTACAGTCATTGTAAAAGTAGTTTGATATTTTTGACAGAAAATATATTCATAAAACATAACATTCTGAATATCTTTAAGTTCTAGTTCACATGGCCAGAGAAAGAGATTTTTTTTTACAAACATTTGCCTGGTAAAGAGTTGATTCAACTCACTTTTCAATTGCACATATAGCTTTTTGTAGTAAATATGAAATTCCTTCATGTAGCAAGTGGTTTTTATGAATATTCAACTTTTTGTAGTCAGTAATAAGTGCCACTGATTAACATATGTACTACATCAATCAACAGTATTTTACATGCACATGGTTGATTGTTTATTCATTCCATCAAAGTCGAACATTACACCAGTTTTAACTGTTGAATAAAATAGATAAACAAATTTGGTTATCCACTTGAACTTTGAATTCAATAACATTTTTCATACAATCACATGCAACTTTCTTTTTTCATTCACTGTTCTGTATATTCTAGAGAAAAAAAAAGTGAGGTGTTCATTTTAAAACAAGTTCCCCTAAATCAGATACCTCAGCACTGATTACTAAAAATGAAAACAACAAAGAAAAACAATGAGTTTTAAGGTGAGCAAAATTCTCAGAACTATTTGTATTACTTTTACAAATGTATATACCTGATATAGTTTGGCATGAAGAGAACCATTGTACTGCATATACTGGACAAGGTAAGCACGTTGACCTTCATAAGGAGTGATAACTCCTATCTGCTCTGGTTTCAGTCCCGATTTCAAAAACCTAGTGGTCAATTTCTCAACTAAGGATGCCTCAGTTCTGCAAAAAAATTTCTTATTTTTTTTTTATAAGTAATTAAGGATAAAAAAAATTGCTCAAAACATACAAAATGTAGAGAGTTATAAATGAGTAAATAATGTAACTTCAGTGTTTAATGACACATAAATATTATTATTCTAATGTTAGAACATAAGTAACAGCTAATTCTCAAATCACAAGGAAAACCACTCTCACCTGGTCAAAATAAGATCATGCTAAAATTGTAAAATTAATTATGGGAGGGGGGATATAATGCAGTATTTCAAGTTTTTTTTTTTTTTTTTTTTTTAAAAGTAAATAACTTTTTTTTTTACTCAAAACATAAAGATTATGTGAAAACTGTTTATAATTTTCTGTTAAATGGACAAGATTCTCATTTTGTACAAGCAAATACACGCACATTCTATTTGTAGTTCACCCAGTTCTGTTAACTCTTTTCATATGGGGTTGGGCAATGTGAACAATTTTGTAACTACAAAGTAATCATTACAGTTCCCATACTATGGCTTTTAATATGTTTTATGTATCTTCACAAAAAGTGGCAAGCTTTCATTAAACAGTTCAAGTCTTTTGTATACTTAAAATTTTAAATTTTAATTAAGTATTTTTACTAAAGATTTGTCTGTGAATATGTGGAAATAGAGTGTTGACTGCTTTAACTGGAAAGTGAGTTTCATGTTAAGATTAAAAATACTTTCCTTCAAACGAAAATTGTCAAATTTCATTTATCTTATGTGTAAAGCCTCCTAAATGAATATCAAATGTTTTTTTTTCAGTAAAACTATATCTTATCTGTTTTCTTTACCCTAACTCTTTATGGACTCAGTCTATTTGATCAACCTTGTAACCACCACAAAAAAAGAAAGAAAATAAGGAAGAAATCTAAATTATCCTTTTTTTCTTTCTAAAATGGCTGCATATTGTAACATAAAACTACAATTGTTTATCTTAAATAGCTTAAAGCTCATAACAGTCTACATTTGTTTATACTTAATTTTACTGTTTTTATTGCTGTTTGAGCCATGTATAAATAATAATCCTGCCACATAACTTGTAAATCACTTAGTGGACACATAACTCATATTACCATATTGAACGTCATATCACACGAGCTGCTCATGGGTATACCTCATTAAGTTTTTACTTTTTCATTACTTCACTTAAGTTAACCTAACAAGCTTCTAATGTTTACATCTTAGTTACTTTTATAACCATAAATAAAGAATATATATGAAAGACAAGAAATATAGTACTCACTTTTGACCTCGTTTTTTGCTGTCAGATGTTGATGAAATTTAAGCTTACTTTTTTGTGATGATGGTAGTACACTGATTTTTTATTTACTTAAATAATGCACCTGAGAACACAGAATAATAACATGCACAAAGCAAACAATGCCATATAACTATTATAACTTAACTGGCTTTCAAACTAAGACAATAGGGGCTTAAATTAATTCCCTTTGGTGCTCAATCTGAACACCACAAAATAAACTTTCAAACTGAAGATGAAACTGACAATACTCTGTACTGAACACAATGTAGCATTATACATCATTCAATAGATTAAAACTTGGCCTTTCTATTGGTTATAAATGAATTATCAGAGCAAATTATTGGCTTTTGTAAAAGATAGGATGTGACAGGTGAGCATGTCAAATAGGTCTGATTTTCTGGTTTATGACTTTGTAAACAAATAAGGTTGAAGGCTAAAAAAATTAGACTTTGCCTTATTAATATCTATTTCATAATGAGTAAATTACTTTAAATTCCATACTTCAGAGAAAGGTGTCATTTCTATATTTGTAGTCATGAAAATTAGTAACTTATAAATGCCACCATACCTAAAACAGACTTCAAACCGTATAATGACCATTCATTATTCAATGTTTCTGAACATTAAATACTATTCTTTGGTAAAGTTATAATGAAATAAAACCAACTACATGACATATACACAGTGTGGTCACAGGTAAATAGACACCACTTTTTCAGAAAAAATGAAACTGTTCAGTCATATTCACATGAATTGATATACTTATAATTTAATTAATATCTAGTAGATCTTCCTTTCGCTTCGTGGAGTTCTTGATCCTTTGGGGCATCGTGAGAATCATCTCGTCAATTTTAGATTGTGGGATTTTCGCTCACTCTTGCTTCAAAACTTCGAGTAGATCGCTCTTCGAAGTTGGTTTTTTGGTTGTTTCTTGACTTGCCGGTCAAGTATGGCCCAAAGGTTTTCGATGGGGTTCATGTCAGGAGATTAACTCGGCCAGGGCAACCTCTGGATACCATTTT